TTTCCCTCTTGCCTCCATTCTACTCCACTCCATCGCAGAGAAATGTACAAACCACCTCTTTGCCCTAGTCAGAAACCTATCATCCAAGAGTCCTCTTCCAGGCAATATTTTTGTTTATGTTACAGCAAAGGAAGCCTATGTTACAGAAGGAAATTCCAGTGGGGGTTGGGGGAATTGTAGCTTAAAAGCTCACTTTGATTCAAATTTCAGGTATTCTCATTAGAGACCTCCCCAAAGCAGCCAGCCCCACTGCCACTACCGTAAGTCCATGTCCTTATGATTTTCACAAACTGTTTCATATTTCAGAACCTGCTGCCTAATCTTCCAACTTCAAGACTTGTGACATCCACATCACTACTTTCTACATCTTGCTAATGACAACTAATTGTGCCACTGTGGGCTGGAAACCTTCAATGATTTATCATTTACCTTCAGGCGAAAGTCCAAACTCCTTAGCTATGATACTTCAAAACTTTCATGATTTATTCAGCTTGCCCGTCCAGATTCTTGCCAACCCTCCCTTTCTCCTGACAAACCACAGTATGTGATTGAAGGGCCAAGTAGAGCAGCCTGGGTGGCTCAGCGGTTAAGCACCATCTTCAGCACAGGGTGTGATCCTGGAGACCGGGGGGATCCAGTCTCATGTCTGGCTCCCTGCATGGAGCCTGCTTCTCCCTCTGCCTGGGTCTCGGTCTCTCTTTCTCGCTCTGTGTCTCTCATGAATAAATAAAATCTTTTAAAAAAAGATAAAGGGCCAAGTAAACAATACAAGATATGAAGCACTCGATTATTTCTGATCTCCTCTCAGCAACACATTGGTGATACTCATCTGGTCCTGAGTACCCTCTGCCCAATAAATCTCTCAGCTGTTCAGTAGGGCAACTGAGCTACAGGTGGATCAAGTGTACTTTTTACTCTCAATAGAATTAAGTGGGACATCTGCCAGCTTAGGATCCATTGCCCACACCTCAATCAACTCTTAGGACCTCATCAGATGCATCAGACGTGAACTTTCTGCAAACTAGGACTCAACTGAATCCACCCGTTTGCACTCTATTCTGAATGTGCTAACCCAGCCCCATCTCTTTCCCATTGCTTCTCCCTAGGCCTTAAAATCAGTTTAGCTGTTTAGGGTGGGTTCATTTGGCCCATGAGCCTTCTATGATCTGCAGGAATAATTACCATAGCACCAGAGTACTTTTCCAAACTTACTCTGTACTAAAGGCCACAGGCACTGGCAAATGAAGTAAGCTCACCTTACACTCAGTAAACACAGGCCCTTGTTAATGCATCCCTGCCCACCTGCCTCCTTTACCCTTCACACCAATGCTAAGTACAGCTGAATGCTAAGTACAGTTGAACCTTGAACAATGCAGATGTTGGAGCACCAACACCCCACAGTCAAATATCCACATGGAAGTTTCTACTCTTCAAAAACTTAAGTCTACTGTTGACTGTAAAATTTACAGGTTAACAGTTAACACACATTTTGTGTTCTTACAATAAAGCTAGATAAAATGTTAAAATCAGGAAAGTTTCTTATACTGCATTTACTGAAGGACTCGAGTTCAAACCTGTTGTTCAAGGGCCACCTGTGTATTAAAATTGCTGTTTTTGTAGGTCAAAAGCAATTTCATAAACTTTAATTACTAACTTTATGACTATGATAAAAGTAACTTCACTTGACTATGCTCATAAGCCCATGAAAATTACGATTAGCCCTCCAGTTTACAGTGAGCAGAGGCACAGAAGTTAGGAAGACCATACTAACAAATGACAACCAAATTCCAGGAACCAAGCTCTAACAATACATCCCTGAAGTAGGGCTGTTACTCTAGTCTCACAGCCAAAAGCGCTATTTGTTTAGCTCAGCAGCGGCTCCTGCACAAGTGAAGGTAAGCGGTGGTCTCGAGGAGTTAGGAACCGAAGAAAAAAGCAGGCTGTGTGCTGGCACCTAGGTGGCTGTCAGTTAAGCATCCCGCTCAATTTTAGATCAGGTCATAATCTCAGGTCTTGAGATCACTCAGTAGGGCATCTGCTTGATTTTCCCTCTGCCCCTCCTCCTACTCAGACATACCTGTGCTCACACTCTCAAATAAATCAATCTTAAAAAAAAAATCAAACAGGACAGGACTTAGCTTGGGAAAGCATTGTAGGGTGCAATAAAGGTAAGGTTGGCAGGGCACTGAAGATTATGAAGGATTATGAAGATCCTTTACAAGTCACTTTGTGATCAACAGGAAGCTGCAAATTAGTGCTTGGCCACTTTATTTTATGGGAACTGTTCTAACACTTGTGCTCTATCCACTTAATCTCTGTTCTCTCAGCAGTCCAACTATGTTGGCCTCGTCTCCTCACTGCAAAAAACTGGCAATAAATCACCAGAACTGGGAAAGTAAGGTGAAAAATTTCAGAGCCCTTGTAACAGAAAAAAAATAAATAAATGAGGGTTAAAGAAATTCTACTGGGGATCTATTTATTGTCTTTCATCTACAAATGTTTCTATGGCTTTCCTTTACTGTATACTCAATGCACTGTATTTGCAGGATGTCCCACACTTTCTCTTAACCCATCCCACTCGCATTTTTTACTCATAGCTAGCAAGTACTTCAGATACTCACTTAGCTGGCCATCTTAAATTACACACAAGCCTATATGCTAGATACCAAACAAGCATTTGAGACTAGAATGAGTTAAGACCACCTTTCCAAAACAACTCATGCAATTACTATCCTTCATGTTCTCAATGGTACTCCAAACGGTATCACACAGAAATGACGACCACTCCCCCAAATCATTAGACTATAGCAGGTGAATGTTACTAAAAGCAATTATGCTTTACTTACTCTACCATTTTAAAGTTTTACTTAAATCTTTTTCATTTACTCTACGTCCCACATGGGGCTCAAACTCATGACCCAGATATCAAGCTCCTCTGACCCAACCAGGTGCTTGTCTCTAACATCTTTAATACCCATATATAACATGAGCTCTGCTGTGCTAACTCATATTGCATTCTTTTCCCATCATCTTCCAGTGTTGTCTACTTTAAGGAATCCTGGGAATTCTGATTATTTCTTATCTTCTTAAACAGTATCACAACCCAGTTCAAAAAATTAGTGCTCTAGAAGAGTCACTTACCAAGTAAATCTAATATCAAGTTGTCCCATCTCCAATCCTATGGTAATTCACTGATATTACAAGGCTATTAAAAATACCTTAGCACACCAGATACTTTTTAAAACCAGAACGTTTATTTTGACTAATCGTTGAAATCCTTAAGATGAACTGGATGCTGCAACAGCTGCCCTCTTGGGCTTAGGTGTCGTTCCTTCACGGAATCCATGCCTGTATCATGTTAAAAATGAAAACCGTTATTTCAACAATACACACATTTCAAATTTTATTAATACAGAGTTCAATGAGCTTATCTCAGTTAAATGCTGAAATCAGTATCAAATTCATATGTTCAGACATTTATTTTTACAACATCACTGATAAGCTGCAACATTTCATTTACTTCTGCTTCAAGATACCCATTTTAGACATATACTTAACTGCAACTGGAGAAAAAGTCAACCATTTATTTGGTTGTACTGATCACTGGGCCAGTACTTCTCTCCTGCTTGTTAAAAAGACCCATTTGTGAAAATGGGTCCCCAGGCTGTCAGGCAGAGATCCTAAATACTTTCCTTTAGTCAAGGAGCATGTTTAATTGCAAACATTCTCTAAACTGCTTATCTACGCTTTGCATTTATCTCCTTTAATATATATACACACCCTAAGGAGAAAGTTACTGCTATCCCCCTTTTAAAGAGTTGTGAACTGAAGCACCAAAAGGTTTAGTCTGGCTTCAGTTTACACTCTTAAAGTCCTCCTACATGGCACTGACAGTCCCCTGACACTAAGCTCACACTACTGTATGATGCTTTTAAAGTGCAAAGAAGAAAGGTCACTCCAGCATGCAAACACATCTAGGGGTGTCTGTTGTGTTTACAAAGCCCCCAGATACCTTGTGAGGTTTTAAAATGAAAAAGTCTGGAATTGGGGCAAAGGCCAGGGCTTCAACTAAGCATCACATAGGACAGGACAGCCTCCCCAACAAAGAAGTATCTTCGTTGAGATTTAAATGACTGACACCCTCAAAAGGCAGTCTCTCTCCATTTAGGTTGGAGCTGAAATTCTGCATTTCTAACAACTCTAGAGACTTTAACAAGAGAGCAAGATCGCTTTATTTCTATACAAATGCCCCAACTCGGATGGTTTTCTATAGCAGACTTGCCTGAAACCACAAAAGTGAAGGCCGGACCTCAGGCCTCATTCACCACTACTGTCTTGACAAATTTTGCTGCGAGAGTGAGATGTGACCTATCCCTAAAAAACAGCATTAGTTTGGGGTGTCCAGCTCAAACCACACTCTAGACATTTATAGCTTATACTACTGCTCCTTGAGAGATCAACGAAATCTAGATTACCTCATCTGAAGGTTACAGTGGCAGCAGAAAAAAAAAAAAAAAAACTAAAACAAAAACCCCACAACCTTCCAACATGTCATCCCCACCAACCAGGGTAGTATCTTTATTTCACAGCAGATAAACGAGGCTGTTGTTCTCCAAGCTCACAGAACCAGTCAGACGATAGAAACACAAACACTGTACCTGAATCTGCGGTATACAATTTTTAGGTGCCTCATTCGACCGGTCCCAGTGGTATTCCGTCTCTTAGCCTTGGCACTCCAGTTATCTGAAACACAAATTGAGGCAAGGTTCTGATTTGCAACCCCCGCCCCTCCGCACGTACATTTTAGGCCCTGTGGTCAACACACTTGTTAGAGTGCCTTCCGTGTTTCTTCAACCCTCTTCACCCGCACCCAGATGCGCTTCTGCGTTAAGGCCCAACTAATGCCCGAAGCCGTGCCCGCGTTCCTACAACGCCGACGAGCGACGAAGGACACCCAGCCCAACACCTCACACGGTCGGCCTGCAAAGCGCTCCACTTACACTTTCTCTTCCGCTTGGCAGGGTAGCCACACTTGCCGCAGGTGGACTTCTGAAGGTGGTAGGCCTTAGAGCCACAGCGGCGGCACAACGTGTGCGTCTTATTGCGACGCTTTCCGAACGATGACGTCCCCTTCGTCTGCAAAGGGGAGACACAATTTTGAGATCTGGCGCTTTCTATACATCTCCCGACGTTTTCAGGAAAATAGACCACTGATTATAAATGAAAGACAAACAAAAAAAAAAAATTTCTTAAAGACAATCCGGGGCTGACACTGTGGCGGAAGTTCCTAACTTCTTAAAGTGCTACATCAATCAGAGAAACTACCAGCATTTCAGATTATCGAAAGCGTTCTGCAAGGGGTGCTCTATCGTGAAATCCGCTACGTTCTCTGAAGGAGACAGAAAAAATAGACAAGTCGGAGGTAGAAGTAACGAGGCGGTTTCCCTGCCTACCCGACCCCCGGCAACTAAGAGCTCCTCGCCAGGGCCCACCACCAAGGAGTTCCTTTGCGCACAGAGCCAAACGCTCCCAGCCCACGCTTCTCCCTTCAGTTCTCATCCGAGGGCAAGGCTTCTCCAAAGATCAAAAGAACCAAGGGATCTGGAGGGGCTCTTGCTCCACAGCCGTTAGGCTCAGCCTCCCCAGGGAGTTAGGAGCCATTCTTCTGGCTCCTGAGGGCCACCGCGTGCCCCTCTCCTGCCCCCCCCGCTCCCTCCCTCAGGAACCTTGCCGGCCCCCTAAGGATGGCAGGGAACGCGACGCAGAGGACGAGGATGGAAGGCGATCCAGACGAGCATTGGAACCGACTCACCATCTTGTTTCCGCGGCAGACCCCAAAGAGGCCGGAAGAAGAGGCACTTCCGCTATATCGTGCTCAGAAGCTTCCGCCCCAGGGAAGTACTTCCGGCGGGGCGCGGTGCACCGTCCTCAAACGTCCGTAGCGGCACCGTGGGTGGGGCCTAGGGGCGGAGGCGGAGCCAGGCAGGGCCAATAGGGGTTTCGGAGCCCGGCCGGCGGGAGGGCTCACAGCTTCCCGGCGTCGGAGTGGGCGTGTTCCGGCGACCCCCCCCACCCCCACCCCGGGCGGAGAGCAGCCCTGACGCCGGAGCTCGGTCCTGTGTGCTGGCGCTCCGGCCCTCCCGCCGCCTCGCGGGTTTGCGGCCGCCGACTGGCGGGAACCTGGGGATCCCCGAGCCGAGTGCGCGCTTCCGGCGTGTGGTGGAGCGCCGGGCGGGGGCCTGCGACGCGGCCCGGGAGAGGCCCGCTCCTCCAGGGCCCTCCTCCCCGGGCCGCGAGCTTCCGGCGGACGCTGGTTCTCCCGGCGGGGCGGGGCGGCGGCGGCGGCGGCGCGGCCTCGCCGCATCTTAAAGAGAAAGGCGAATAATGGTTTGGTTTGGTTTGGTTTCCTGACTGCAGTAAATTAGAGTCGAATGTTTTTAACTAATTCAATTGTGCAAGGGGTCACACGTGGAGCTTCTAGTTTGCTGCACCCCGATGCGAGGAAATGTGATCCGGCCCCTTTACGGAGGGCCTGGAAGCCTATACGTGAGCCCCTTGTAAATAGATTTTGTTTTAGATGTTATTTTTTTTAAGATTTTACTTATTTATGCATGAGAGAGAGAGGCAGAGACGCAGGCAGAGGGAGCAGCAGGCTCCGTGCGGGGAGCCCGACGTGGGACTCGATCCCGGGACTCCAGGATCATGGCCTGGGCCGAAGGCGGCGCTAAGCCCCTGAGCCGCCCGGGCTGCCCTCTGGTGCCGCTTTATGCCGGCAATTAACGATACTGCACACAAGATCTGTCGAGAAGGCCCACCGCTAGTTTAAGCGCTCTTCACCACGATTAAAACACACCTCACGGTTCCGGTCAGAAGGGAGATGGGCCTCGCTGGGCGGACATCAGGTGTGGGCAGGGCTGCGTTGTTTTCTTGGCGGTTCCGGAAGAGCTGCCGCCTTTTTCGGCTCCTGGAGGCTGTCAGCATGCCTGGCTTGTCGTCTCCTCGCCCCTCCAAGCCAGCAAGCCAGCAGGAGTCTCCTATCACACCCTCTGCCTCCCCCGACTTTTTTTTTTTTAAAAAGATTTTATTTATTCATAGAGAGAGAGAGGCAGAGACACAGGCAGAGGGAGAAGCAGGCTCCATGCAGGGAGCCCGACGTGGGACTAATTTTAAGGCCCTGTTAAGTTCAACCAGGAAGCCATTGGGCTAAGGGGACTAATGCGTTAGGGACCCACTAAGCACACAGGAACCTAGGCCCGAAAATTGTGGGACCCAGGAAATTTAACAAAATCCCCTACCCCTGGACAAGCAGAGCAGGACTGACTCCCTTTTGTGCTGCAGCCGCCTCGTGCCGACCTGCTTAGGGCACTGCCCCGCCCTAGTCAAGCCCAGGGCACACCCTAATCAGAAATGGGCTCAGTGATAGGCCAGTTCAAACGGACACTTTAGGGTAAAATGTAATTCAATCGGCCACCTGCGAGTGTCCGGACCGGCTTGACTGTGCAACTTTCTGCGTATCCCATTGGCCACTGGCCCCTATAAAGCTGCTACGCCTCTTAGTCTCGGGGTCCAAGCCCCTGCTCCCCTGTGTCGGGTACACTTGGACCCAGGCTCGAGCTTGTAAATAAACCCTCGTGTGTTTGCATCGGTGTCGGCTCCTTGGAAAATCAGAACGCTAAGGACAGGGCACCTGACTGGCTCAGCCAGAGGAACATGTGACTCTAGATCTGGGGTAGTGAGTTTGAGCCCCATGTTGGGTGTAGAGATTATTTAAATTAAAAAAAAAAAAAAAAACTTAAAGCCACTAAGGATGAGCAAATTACTAGGCTTAAAGTTACAGCCAATCAATTTTCTTTTTTGGTGCAGCCCCGGTGGATCAGCGGTTCAGCGCCGCCTTCAGCCCAGGGCATGATCCTGGAGACCCGGGATCGAGCCCCACGTTGGGCTCCCTATTAAAAACTCCAGCAAAGATCCAACAGATTGTGGCAAGCTGCCACGCATGCCAGTTAACAAATGCCTCCGCCCGTGGATCTAACCCGGGCACCGGGCTCCGAGGGGACCGCCCAGGAGCCTACTGGGAAGTGGACTTCACTGAGGTGAAACCTGGAAAATACGGGTATAGGTATTTACTAGTGTTAGTGGATACTTTTTCAGGATGGACAGAGGCATGTCCCACCAAACATGAAACAGCACAGACCGTGACCAAGAAACTGCTGGAAGACATCCTTACTGAGGTATGGTTTTCCTGTTAGAATTGGGTCAGACAATGGCCCAGGATTCGTCTCTAAGGTAACACGGGGAGTGGCACTAGTACTTGGGGCAGATTGGAAATTACATTGTGCATATAGGCCCCAGAGCTCAGGACAGGTAGAGAGGATGAACAGAACATTAAAGGAGACCTTAACTAAATTAGCCCTGGAGACTGGCGGGGACTGGGTGACTCTCCTCCCCTTTGCCCTATATAGGGTGAGGAACTCCCTATATAAGATGGGACTGACTCCCTACGAGATCATGTTCGGTCTTCCTCCACCTGTTATCCCCAATTTAAAACCTGAGGTGCTTGCTGAATTTGATGATCACCAACTTCTTTTCTCCCTCCAAATGTTACAACGAACCCATGAGCAGGTGTGGCCTAAGCTGAGGGCCCTCTATGAGACTGGGCCACCCCCAGACCCCCATCGATATCGGCCAGGTGACTGGGTGTACGTGCAGAGATACCAACACCAGACACTTCAACCTCGCTGGAAGGGACCTTACATCGTGATCCTGACCACTCCCACCGCTCTCAAGGTCGACGGGATTACTCCCTGGGTCCACTACACCCACGTCTGGCCAGCTGACCCACACGCCGTTCTCTACGGACTTTGTTCCAGAATGGAAAAGCCAACCGGACAAGGACAATCCCCTAAAGCTAAGACTGCGCCGTTCTCACTTATTTCCCACCTCCAAGACTCTCTAGTCCGAGGTTGTCCTTCAGAATAGAAGGAGATTAGAATTAGCCTTCTTACAACAAAGGGTTGGGGGGGTATGTGCTGCCTTTAAAGAGGTTGTCCTTCAAAATAGAAGGAGATTAGAATTAGCCTTCTTACAACAAAGGGTTGGGGGGGGGTTATGTGCTGCCTTTAATGTAAATAAGAGCGAGAAACAGCAACAAGGTTAGTAAAAATCCTGGTTTAATCATTCCCCTGGCTCACTCTGAGAGCAACCTGGACCCATGATTGGGTCCTGCATAGGATCCTCTGAAAAAGGGGGGAATGTGGGACCCAGAAAATTGAACAAAATCCCCTACCCCTGGACAAGCAGAGCAAGACTGACTCTATTTTGGGCTGCACCTGCCTTGCGCTGACCTGCTTATAACTTAGGGCACTGCCCCGCTCTAGTCAAAGACCAGGGCACACCCTAACCGGAGATCCGACTCAGCGGACCAGCGTGACTGTGCAACTTTCTGCGTATCCCATTGGCCACTGACCCCTATAAAGTTGCTAAGCCTCTTAGTCTCGGGGTCCAAGTCGCTGCTCCGCTGCTTCAGGTATACTTGGACCCAGGCTCGAGCTTGCAAATAAACCCTCGTGTGATTGCAACGGTGTCGCCCCGGCTCCTTGGCGGTTTCTCGGATTGCGATCTTGGGCACAACACCGATTGGAGCCTGCTTCTCCCTCTGCCTGTGTCTCTGCCTCTCTGTGTGTCTCATGAATAAATAAATGAAATATTTTTTTAAAATGCCAGGTTGGGAATGGATCAATTTTTGAAAGAGATGGTATATGCTATTCCTGGGTATTTGCTCTATGACATTTTGCCTTTCAGCAGAGAATAATGGAAACTACATAAATCCTGCATCTGTGATTCTGATGCAACTCAAGTCTCTTTACCAGAACTTGGCACTATTTTTTTTCCACCTACAATAAATGAAATTACTGCTGACTTTACTCTTCAAGACATCAAATAAATTTCTTAGCTGCAAACAAAATTTTTACTCCTGTGTCATTGATTTGATTTGGGGGGTATATTTTCAAATCTGCATCTTCCTGGCTACCCTTCCCCAGCTCCATCCCATTTGCATTTTAAGCTTGTGCAATGCAAATTTTCTGTTACCAAAGAACTGAATTTAAACTTCCTACGATTAAATTTCTTTGCTAAATATCTCATTTAAACTATCCCTTTCCTTCCCATCAACTTTGAAATCCCCCAGGGCAGGGTACTTTTGAGAGGGGAGGGTAGTTAGGGTGGAACAGTGGGGAGGAGATGGGGTTTGAGGAGCTTATGAAAATGACTTACCAACCAAGGTGAATAAAAAACAATTGGCAAACTTGCTGACATTGCCTGTCAAATTGTTATTAGCTGGGATGCATCTCAAAATTCATACTTTTGAGACACGTTTAAAACTCTTACCTAAATTAATTTTTTAAATTAACTTTTAATGCAAGGGTTTTCTTAATCTTTTCAACCTCAGGGACAGCAGAATTGAATTCATTGTTATCCTTGGTTTTTTTGTTTGTTTGTTTGTTTGTTTTTTAATTTTATTTAGGGGATCCCTGGGTGGCTCAGTGGTTTAGCGCCTGCCTTTGGCCCAGGGTGTGATCCTGGAGTCCCAGGATCAGATCCCTCATCGGGCTCCCTACATGGAGCCTGGTGTGTGTGTGGGTGTGGGTGTGTGGGTGTGTGTATGTGTGTGTGTCTCTCTCTCATGAATAAATAAAATCTTTAAATAAATAAATAAAAGCATGTAATACGGTGCTTTTAAAAAAGGGATTTTATTTATTTATTCATGAGAGACACAGAAAGAGGCAGAGAATAGACAGAGGGGAAAGCAGGCTCCCTGCAGGAAGCCTGATGCAGGACTCCATCCCTGGACCCTGGGATCATGAGCTGACCCAAAGGCAGACAATCACTGAGCCCCAGGTGCCCCTATACTTGGTTCCTAATGCATCTTAAGCTTTGGTCCATGCATGGCCTGCCTTTATTTACATATTTAATTATCTTTAATAATATAGTAAGCATCTGTAAATTCATCCCTGGATGATATCCTATATCTTAACTCCATGATCTTACTGTCCTCTCATCCCATCTTATCCCCAGCCTCTCCTGAACTTAGGTAACCATCCTTCTTAATTTCATATTCATTATTTCCTTACTTTTCATTGTACATAATTTTAAAAAGTATTTTATTTTTAAGTATTTTATTTTTACGTTAATTTTTATATCCAACATGGGGCTCAAACTTACAACCCCGAGATCAAGACTGCATGCTCTACTGACTGAGATAGCTAGGAATCCACACTTTTATAATTTTAATGACTGTATACTAAAATGTGTGTGTGCGTGTATTTTAGTTACATTCAATTTTTTAAAAGTGTCATGTGGTACATAATCTTTTGGAACTTAAAGTTTTCCTTTTATATTTTTATGACCATATTTGGGTCACTGAATTTCATTCTTTTTGAGTGGTGTGTACTGTTAGATGTTTACTACATGTAATACTACAGTTTATTCATCCAGTATCTTGTTGATAGTTATTTATATTGTTTTCAAGTTCTTGTGAACTATGTAAATAAAGACCAACTAGGAGTGCTTGGGTGGCTCAGTTGGTTAAGCAAACAACTCTTGGTTTCTGCTCAGGTCATGATCTTGGTGTCTTGGGGTCAACCCTGTGTCAGTCTCCATGCTTAGAGTAGTGTCTGCTTGGAATTCTCCCTCTGCCCCTTCTGCCTATGCACATACTCTCTCTCTCTCAGATAAATAAATAAATCTTAAAAAAAAAAAAAATGACCAACTAGATAACTTTTTAAAAAAATCAGGGGTGCCTGGGTGACTCAGTCAGTTAAGCATCCTACTCTTGATTTCAGCTGAGATCATGATCTCTGGGTCCTGAGATCAAGCTCTGCATAGGGCTTTGTGCTCAGCATGGAATCTGCTTGTCTCCCCTCTTGTATGCACATGTATTCACACTTTGTCTCTTTCTCTCTCTCAAATAAATAAAATACAATCTAAAAAAATAATAATAAAGTCTCTTAATAGAAACAAAAAATGTAAACTATTAAGATATAGTGTGTTTAAAGTAGGAATTATGAATCCCTCCATAATCATACCCCCAGAGATAACCAGTGTTATAATTGAGGTATCTCTCTCCTGACAGTCTTCTTTTTAAAAAAAATATACTTATATATACATTTATATATATATATATATGATACACATTTTAATTTTTTAAACAAAAGCGGGATCTGTAACTTTTTTTTTTTTAAGATTTTAATTTATTTATTCATGAAAGACACAGAAAGAGAGAGGCAGAGACACAGGCAGGGGGAGAAGCAGGCTCCATGCAGGGAGCCCGAAGCGGGACTGGATGCCAGGACCCGGGGATCACACCCAGCCAAAGGCAGATGCTCAACCGCTGAGCCACCCAGGCGCCCCACTTTCTTTTTTTTTTTTTTTCTTTTGGTCTTTCATAACAATATATCATGGATATTAGTAGTTGTCAAAATATATATACTTACTTCATCCTTTTATTTATGTTTTTATTTTTCTTTAAGTAAACTCTATCCCCCACTGTGGGGGTTGAACTCATGACCCTGAGATCAAGAGTCTTATGCTCTACTGAGTGAGCCAGCCAGGCACCCTGCTTCATCCTTTTAAATTGTTCTTTTCTGTTGAGGTATCAACGTTTATTCCACAAGTCCCTAATTTATGGAAATTTTTGTCATTTTAAATTATCTGCTATTATAAACAATGTTATCATGCAGATTCTTGCACATATTATATCTTTGGGCATTTGTCTGATCATTTCCTTAAGATAATTTCCTAGAAGTGAAATTGCTGAGTTAAATGACGTAAATTTGTATTATTATCTATCAGCATTTATTTGTTTATTGCTATGTATTGCCGGATTTCTCTCCAGAAACAGTTAATCAATTCACATTCTTATCACAAATAGAGCTCAGAGCAGAGAATACCTTGTCCAAACTGAAGTTCAAGAGATTCTGGGAGGAATTGACTCAGGCTAATCAAATGAGACAGACTCAGGTCTTCAATAGAGCAGCTCGGTAATCTACAGGGAGCCAGGCTGGGGGTGCTCAGGGTTAGATTCCCCCAATATCTTGGCTTGTTTGTATCCACTCCCTCCAATGCTAGGCATCTTTCATCTCTGCCAAACAGAATTACTCTTTGCTATTTTTTTGAAAAACTTGTATTTGTTTACTATTGGAATGATTTCATAATCCACTTCCTGGTCTAGAGGACACAAGAACAATGGCTGCGGGGAGTGTTCCTTCAGAGATCATAGAAAGGGAACGAAAAAGGTTACTTGAAATCCTCCAAAAAGATTCCGATTCTGTCTTAGATACATTAACCTCTCGGAGGCTGATTTCTGAGGAAGAGTATGAAACTCTGGAGAATATTACAGATCCTCTGAAGAAAAGTCGAAAGTTGTTAATTTTGGTACAGAAAAAGGGAGAGGTGAGCTGTCAGCATTTTCTCAAATGTTTACTTAGTACTTTTCCAGAGTCAGCTACCATTTGGGGCTTACAGCATGGTAAGTTGGATTTCTGTACTTTTCTTGGGGGGATGGGGAGCGTTAGAGGGACAAGGCAGATTTCCTGAAAGAAGAAAATTATTGCCTTTTGTTTTCCTTTGTTTATCTGCTGGAGATAATTTTCATTGAAATTTAATAAAGGGTTAAAGTGTCCAGGATTTTAAAAACAGGGAACTATATATTTTACTGGCTTAGGGGATTGATAATTTTTTGTTGAACCTGTATCCAAAACTCGCAGTTTTGTTTTGTTTTTTGTTTTTTTTTTAGTGCTATAATAACTGCTTATTATTCAGGAAGTAAATTCATGGATATTTAACAACCCCAATCTTGGAGTTAGTATAACCATCTTGGAAATATCAGAAAAATGGTTTTTAGCACATGTACATGGTGGATCAGTAACTTCATTTTTTCTGTGATAAGAGTGCCAGCAGAAACTTACTTTTTTGGAGCAATTAAAATGCTAATTCTTCAACATTTAAAGATAATTCATGTCAGATGAGGAAGTAGTTCCTCCAGAAGGGATTATTTAGCAATTCTGTAGATTACCACTAAAGGTGGGTATAACTCCTTTTTCTAAAAATATAAAAAATACTGAAGATTATTTTAAGAGATATTAGAGAAGTAGAGGCTCAGATAAAAAGATTAATGTTAATGGTCTCTAATGTAGAACACAACCCATATGCATAGAGAAATAGTTATTATTATTTCTAGGACTTGCTATTCCAAATTAGAGCTATTTGCTTCCTGATTACAAATTATTAGGATTAGATTTCATTAGCAATGGTCCTAGGAAATCTGAGTTGGTTTTGGGTCATAGTAAGTCCATAAGTAAGCACTATTCATAGGATACACTTTTTTTTTTAAGATTTTATTTATTTATTAGAGAACACGGGGGGGGGGGGTAGAGGGAGAAGTGGACTCCCCACTGAGCAGGAAGCCTGAGTTGAAGGCAGACACTTAACTGACTCAGCCACTCAGGCACCTGAATTCACATTTTCTGTTTCACTCATGTACTCTGAGTTTGCTATGAAGAACTCAAACTTGTGAGAAAGTTAGAAATGTGATCTGATTTTTTTCCAGTGACAGAATGACAGTTGACTTGTTATTTATGTGGGAGATGCTAGGTATTCTCATCCTCCAGTTTTGAAATAAAGAAGAGAGATGATGCTTTGAGGTTTTGGAAACTCAAGTTATTATAAAATTAATTTTTGTTAATTTGGAAAAATGAACTCCCCCCCAACTTTCTTGTTCTTTTCAGAATTTCTAAAGCATGAGAATATAGAATGTACTCAATCTATAACTGAAAGCAAGAATTCAGAAAACACTTTTTCCTCTAGAGAGAAACAGCCTGAGAGTCCTGAGATCACAGTGTCCTTTACAGAGAAAGAACACCATGATATGGGAATCTCTGAGTCCTTCAGGGACAAGAAGACTAGTCATAAAGGAACTGCTTGGGCCTCCAGGGAAAATGAAAAGGAAGACAACACACCCAAAGTCACATTGCCTGAATATGAGAACACTGAATATGAAATTCCAGCAACTATTGCTTATTTACAGGATGGACAGAACACTGAATATGAAATTTCCAGCAAACCTGAATATGAAATTCCAGCAACTATTGCTTATTTACAGGATGGACAGAGATACGAGGAGCCAGATGATTCATTATACTTAGGAAAAGAGGAATATCTAGAATCTGCTGGATACTCTGAAGATGCAGAGCCCACTGTGGAAGAAGAGGATTATAATGACTCAGAGCACAGTGTTTATGATGGCGAGGAGGATACTGCATATTCAGAAACCGCACACTTCTCAGATGAAGAACAGAGCTATGAAGATTCAGAAACTGGCATGTTATTGGAGGAAGAGGGGGAGGAGGCGGAGGAGGAGGAGAAAAGGATTGAAGGTATGGGAATGATATGTGATAATTAGTTGGCAACAACTTATTTTTTGGGTTTCCATGTCATAATGGGGAGAAGGGGTGAGGAAAGGCACCGATGTCAGCAGAAAAGCAGTTACTCAGAGATTCTTTATGCCTCCCTAACCTGGGAGTTCCTTAGAGGCAGGTATTGACAGAGAGGAATACCCAGGACCTACACAATGGTGGACAGTATACCCAAAAATAAATACTGATTGTCAGCTTATAGGTTTCTACAGTCACCTCCATGGTACGTATAAGTTGCTAACCACTAATTTTAGGTGTTATCTTCTATTGCTCAAATTGAGCCTCTTCTGTCCTATTAGTGCCTTTATGACCAATGAGATATGGAGGTTATAGGCCTAACTACTGAAGTGAAAATCAGAGAGGAGCCTGTGATGAATGGATAAGAGCCCAAAGTAGTGTTACTTGACTTGATCTAGTCATAAATTGTCATCTTGGTAAGGGAAATTAGATCAGTATCTTTAATTGGAATATTTCTGAATGAAAATTCAAAAACCAACAAATGCTTCATTTGGAGAGGTATTGTCCATGAAAATAAATATCACCAAGTACTGAGTAGAAGAGGGAAAGGTAACTATTCTCTCCCATTCAGTTCACATACTGGGGATTCATCATCTGGTCCTAGGTAGGAGAGAGTAATGTCCTCCTCATCACACTTTGTTTTAGTTTGCAAGGGCTGCTGGAGTGAAGTGCCACAAGTGGAGAGCTTCACCAGCAAACAACACAAATGTGTTATCTCAGTTTGGAGGCTAGAAGGGCGACATCAAGGTGTCTACAAGGTTGATTACTTGTGAAGGCTGTCAAGAAGAATCTGTTCCTAGTTTCTGGTGGTTTGCTGGAAATCTTTGGCATTCTTTGGCTCTTAAAAATATTGCTCTTATCCGCCTTCATCTTCACACCATGGTCTCCCTGAATGCATTTCTCTAGGTCCAAATTTTCCCTTTTATAGGACATTAGTCATAATGGATGGGGGCCCACCCTAATGACCTCATCCTTTTTTTTAAAGATTTTTATTTCCTTATTTGACATAGAGAGAGCACTAGCAGGGCATACCAGGCAAAGGGAGAGGGAGAAGCAGAAGCAGGCTCTCCGCTGAATAGAGAGCCTGATGTGGGGCTCCATCCCAGGGTCCCAGGATCATAACCTGAGCTGAAGGCAGACCTTTAACCAACTGAGCTACCCAGGTGCCCCCCTAATAACCTCATCTCAACTAATTTTATCTGCAATGACCCTATTTCCAAATAACATCACATCCTGAGGTACTGGGGTGAGGATTTCAACATATGAATTTGAGGGGTACATAATTTAACTCACAACACTAATCTTGTCCCATCTCTGTATCTTCCCAGTCCATAGTCATTTCTAGGCTTCATTCTTAATTTTTATTTATTTACATATTTCCCATATTGTATAGGGTTGACTTAATTATTATAGTATCATCATTATTCTGCAAAACCCCCTTTTGTCTGTTTATTACATTTTTATTCATTCTCCATTCCTCCATAGGTAACATTCTAATATTATGATGTGTTTCTTGCATGTTACTCTTTAGTTTGTATGATCTTGTTTTCTGTATCAGTTATTTATTGCAATAGTGCTGCATAACAAAGCATATCAAAACAATCAGAGTGTCTGTAGTTGGTTAGGCAGCTCTTATGGTCTTTCCTGGGTTTATTCATGTGTCTCTGGTCAGCTGGCTATAGGCTAGTCTGTCATCTCCTGGCAGACTAGTCTGGACTTATTCTCAGACTAGATGGGGCATATTCTTATGGTGAGGACAGAAGAGTATAAGAGAGAGAAGATGAGAGAGAGGGAGAGAGAGACAGAGAGGAGGAGGTGTAGGCTCAGAACTATCATGCCACCTATATTAGTTTCCTAGGGCTCACCAAAGTACTACAAAGGTACACCAAGGTACACAAAGTACACCAAGGGTGGTTTAGAACAATGGGAAATTTATTGTCTTACAGTTATGGAGGCCAGAGATCTGAAACCAAGGTGTTAGCAGGGTCATACCCTCTCTGCGGGCATTAGGAAAGGAGTTGGTCCAGTCTTATCTCCTTCTTCTCTGGTAGCCTCAGTTATTTCCTGGCTTATAGATGACCATCTAATATGTGTCTTCAAATCATTTTCCCTCTGTGCATGTCTCTGTTTTCAAATTTCCCCTCTTTGTAAGCCTATCAGTCATACTGGATGGGGTCCCAACCTAATGACCTCATGTTAACTTGACCTCTGTAAAGATTTTATTGACACATAAGGTCACATTTTGAGATACTGGGGACTTCAACACAATTTTTGTGTGTGTGGGGGGAAGGGGATAACCACAGTTCAACTCATAACACCATCACTTCTGCCACATTCTGTTGGTCAAAGTATGTCACAAAGACAGTACAAATTCAAGGGCTAGGGAAAAATAGATACCACTTCTTACAAAGTAATATTTCAGAAAGCCAAAACATATCCAGAAAGCCATTAACTGGGGCTATTTTTTTGCAATCAATCTAACACCTTTAGTAAAACACGTCAAAAAAAGTTTCAATAATAATGTAGTTATGATTTACTGTGTAATTCTAATAGCTAACCAATCCAATCTAGTTGACTGGAGACATGTGGCTGTCCTCTGTAATATTTATTTGTCTATACAGTTAAAGACTGAAAAAAAAAAATCCAAACTCATCTGATTTATTTTTTTAAAGGTTTTATTTATTCATTCATGAGAGAGAGAGAGAGAGACTGAGAGACAGAGAGAGAGACAGAGACAGAAGCAGAGACACAGGCAGGGGAGAAGCAGGCTCCATGCAGGGAGTCCGATGCGGGATTCGATCCCAGGACTCCAGGATCATGCCCTGAGCCAAAGGTAGGTGCTAAACTGCTGAGCCACCTGAGGATCCCCCCAAATTCATCTGATTTAAAGGAGAAGAGTCATCATGCTTTTTGTTATGCTAAATTTCATGACAAAAAAAATATCAGTGTCAAATCTGTGTCTCAGGAAGGCTTATGGTGTTGCTCTATGTGCCCTGCACTGTATAAGGTCAACTTGCATATGGACTGTATCAATCTACTCCCTTCACTTCCTCCTTATAGTTGAGTTCATCCAGTGGTAGGAACCCATAGATTTACCATTTCCTGTGCCCTTTCTCTCTTCTTGAGGGCCCAAGTTTTAATGTGATGTTTCCCGTTAGCCTGGGAATTTTATTTATTACTTCTTGTAGTGCAGATCTGCTGGTGGGAAATTCTTTTGGGTTTTGTTTATTGAAAAAATGTCTTTATTTTGCTTTCATTCCAGAAGGATATTTTTGCTAGCTATAGAATTATAGATTGGCCTTTTTTCTGTCTTCAGCACTTTATAGATGCCATTCCTTTGTGTTTTGGCTTCCATTGTTTCTGATGCTAAGTCTGCAGTTTTTTGGTTGTTGTTGTTATTGTTGTTTTATTTATTTTTTATTTTTTATTTTTTTTAAAGATTTTATTTATTTATTCATGAGAGACACACAGAGAGAGGCCGAGACACAGGTAGAGGGAGAAGCAGGCTCCATGCAGGGAGCCCGACGTGGGACTCGATCTTGGGATGAGATTATGCCCTGAGCCAAAGGCAGATGCTCAACCCCTGAGCCACCCAGGCGTCCCTGTTATTGTTGTTTTAAATCATTGTTCCCTGTAATGTCATTTTTATTCTTGCTGATTTCAAGATTTTTTTCTTAAAATTTTTTTAGCAGTTGACTCACATATAATTTTTTTTTTTGTTTTATCTTCCTTGGGGTTTGGAGAGTTTTATGAATCTGTAAAACTTTTATTTTAAACCAAATTTGGAAAATCTTCAGCCACTATTTATCCAAATAGTTCTTTCTGTTCTATTTGCTCCCTTCTCTCTGAGACTACAAGTACATGTATGTTAAAGTTTTTTTTTTTAAATATTTTTATTTTTATTTTTATTTTTTATTTATTTATGATAGTCACAGAGAGAGAGAGAGAGAGAGAGAGAGAGAGGCAGAGACATGGGCAGATGGAGAAGCAGGCTCCATGCACCGGGAGCCCGATGTGGGATTCGATCCCGGGTCTCCAGGATCGCGCCCTGGGCCAAAGGCAGGCGCCAAACCGCTGCGCCACCCAGGGATCCCTATGTTAAAGTTTTTGATATTGTTATGTGGGTTCCTAAGGCTTTATACATTTTTTATTTAATATTTTCCCTCTCTATCCATCAGATTGAATCATTTCAATTGCTAAATCTTTAAGTATACAGACTTACCTTCTGTAATTTCCAATCTGCAGTTAAGTCCCTCTACTGATTTTTAAAAATTTAGATATTGTGATTTTTAGTTCTAGAATTTCTATTTTGTTAATACTTTTTGCTTTATCCTGGAGATTTCTATTTAATCATTCATTATGAACTTATTTTATTTTACATTCTTAAGAGTAGTTAAGGCTTTAAAATTCTTACATGCTAGGGGCACCAAGGTGGCTCAATTGAATGTCCAACTCTTGATTTCAGCTCAGGGATGATCTCAGGGTCATGAGATTGAGCCCTGCATTGGATTCTGTGCTCAGTGGGAAATCTACTGGAGATTCTCTCTCTGTTTCTCTCTCCCTCTACCCAACCCCCCCCCCCGCCGCTCACATATATGGGCTCTCTCTCTTTCTCTCTAAAATAAATAAATCTTTAAAAAATAAAATAAAATTCTTACATACTAAATCCAATATCTGGGTCAGTCTCCATTGATAGAGTATTGGTTATATGTTCTATTTCTTCCTATGTTTGTTAACTTTGGATTGTGTCCTAACTATTGTGTTATCATGACAGGTTGTAGAGACTCTAGATTGTTAAATATCTCCAAAGAGTCTTAATTTTTTTTTTATCTGTTTTAGTTTCCAGTTAACCTAACTGGACTCAAATTCAAAATTTTCTTTTCAGTGGGTGGCAGCTAAAATCTCTGATCATTTTTTTTTTTTGCCTTAGATGGACAATTTTCATGAGTCTTAAATTTATAATAATGTATTGGGTTCTAGATAGTATTGCTTTTTAACTTTTTTCCCTTTTATCCAACTCTGTGCTTATTGACTGTATCATTGTTGCTGTGTATAAAACTTACTTTGTTGCTTCTTGGTGGTATCCCAAATGAGCTCCATAGTAGCCCTGTTATTACCTTGACAATACTAGGCATCTTGGCTTGGGCTGTGTGGGTACTGGTTTTTGTGCTGAAGAAACAGAGGATTGTTGTCCAAAGACAAAATAAGTGATAGGCAAGAGCAGACCTCAACTTCTCACTGTCTCCTCTGGACCTTTTGGTAGCCTCAACTACTCCCTCATCTTCTTACCCCAAAACATATTCCAACCAAGCAACTTTTAGACCACCCAAGGATTTTGTTGAGTTACCTTTGTTAATTCTTAAAATCTATACTTTTTGCTCACTTCTGTTGTTTCTTCCAGCCAATTAAAAAATATATATATATTTATTTTAGAGAGAGAGCACTGGAGGAGGAACAGAGTGAGAGAGAGAATCTCAAGCAGACTCTCCACTGAGCCCAGATCCCAATGCAGGACTCAATCCCACAGTTCTGAGATCACAACCTGAGCCAAAATCAAGAGTCAGATACTTAACCAACTGAGCCAATCAGGCAGCCTTCTTCCAGGTTATTTTTATAGGGGACCCAAGAATCTTATGCTAGTTCGCCATCTACCAGGAATAGAAAATGCTCTCTGGTCTTCCTTCTCTACCAAGCACTGTATCTGTATTCTCAAGAAGTGGTTGGGGGGGGGGAGGTAATATTAGAAAATAGGAGATCGGGAGAAATTAGGTACAACACATAAATTTTGAGAAAAGTTTAATGGAAATAAAATCTTACATTTCTCCAAACTTTAGCAAGAGATGTATTTAAAAAATAATTCAGTATAAACCTAGAAAATTCCTCATACATGTATATCATGAATCACTAACAACGTGTTTCATTGCTGTATATAAACAATCAAAAAATTGGAAAACCTAAGTGATCATCAGTAGACAATGGTTAAGTAAGTAATGGTCCATCTGAATGATGAAATATGATGGATTAGCTAAAATGAATTCAGTCAGTCTGTATATAAACTGATTTAGAAGAATTTGCAAAGTACCATTAAGTGAAAGAAGTTTAAGAATCATTTGTTTAGTATAATATAATTTATGTAAAAATAAAATAGCACCCACTAAACCAAACGATATATTTCTCTATATGCATGCATACTTATATCCTTGCATGTCATAAGGATGGGAAGCAAACATATGTAACATATTGAAATCTGTCAGAAGGAAAGTGGAATTGGCAGAGTGGCAAAAGGGAACTTTCACTTTATTTGTGTTGTTCCATCTTTTTACAATGAAAATGTTAATTATTTATTTACTTAATTTTAAAAGTCCGTGAAAGAAGCTTAGTCTCTGAATGTAACATTCACCGGGTATCTTTTTCCCTACAGAAAGAAAAAAAGTGTTTAAAGATGTCCTGTCATGTTTGAACATGGACAGGAGCAGAAAGCTTTTGCCAGATGTTGTTAAACAATTCTCCTTAGATCGAGGATGTATGTGGACACCTGAGACTCCAGGGGACTTAGCCTGGAATTTCCTGATGAAAGTTCAAGCTCTGGATGTGACAGCCAGAGATGCAATCCTCAGACACAAGGTTCCGGGTGAGGATGGCAAAGAGGAATTGCTGGCTGGAATAGAGAATTTGGAAGTTAGAGACATACAAACCATTAATCCATTGGATGTTCTTTGTGCCTCTATGCTCTGCTCAGACAGCTCTTTGCAGCGTGAAGTCATGTCAAACATGTACCAGTGCCAGTTTGCTCTTCCCCTGCTCCTGCCAGATGCAGAAAACAACAAAAGCATCTTAGTGCTAGGAGCCATGAAGGACATTGTGGAAAAGTGGTCAACACAGTCTTCAGGAGGGCCTAGAGGGGACACAGAAAAGTTTCTGAAGATGCCTGTCCTCTCCTTTGTGCGCCTAGGATACTGTAACTTCTCCAAGTCCAGAATCCTCAACAGACTGCTTGATCCTGCCCAACTGAAATCACACAAAATCTTTTTCCATCAGGATTTTACTGTCCCAGTGCTTCCCCGACAAATCTCTGATGGCCTGGTTGAGATAATGTGGCATTTTCCGGATAGCAATGGTCCAAAGAAAGACCTCAGTTTTTTCCAAAAGCCTGTTGCTCTGGCCAATCTTCGTGGAGACCTAGAAAGTTTTTGGACACAGTTTGGTTTTTTGGTGGAAGTTTCCTCAGCTGTGTTTTTTTTCACTGACTACCTAGGTGAGAAGGAATGGGACTTGCTAATGTTTTTAGGAGAAGCTGCCACTGAAAGATTCTACTTTGTTCTCAGTCCCCAAGCCCAGGAGAGTGAAGAGGTTCAGCTTTTCCAGAGGGTTCTAAATTTGAAGCCATCACAGCTACTCTTTTGGGAGGGGGAAGAAGCTGGAGAGAGAGGAAAGAATATGGAGCATCTTCAAACTGCTCTGCAAGAAGTGATGTCATCTTCACTCAGATGTGTGTCCATGGAGGACATGGGCTCCCTGGCCAGGGAGTTGGGAATCCAGGTAGACCAAGACTTTGAGAACGTTCAGGTAATTCATAGTTGCCCTAGTGAAAACTTGGCTAGAACAGCTAGAGATGAGAGACAACAAAGACACAGTCAACCAGAAAGCTCACCTGAAGCTCCAACTGAGATGCCTGTAAGAGAGCCTGGGGCTAGCTGGAATCTTCAGAATTTCCACCATACCCCAGTATTCTTGCCTCATCTGGAAAATTCCTGTCCTTTACCAACCAGAATTGGAGGTAACTTTAGCCATGTTCCTTTGAAAGCTCCCTGGGTTATGGGCTTCCACTTTGGGTCAGAGCAGAGGTCTAAGTGGTTCCGTCCCTGGCCCTTTCAGAAAATGAGGGCCATGGTCGAGGTGAAAGTTTTAGATTTCAGTACTTCCAACCGCAGAGGTTTTATTCACCTGAAAGATTTATGAAATTTTCAAGAACGGCTTGGAGACATCACATGAATACATTTGAGAGACCACTAAGACCTATGTTTCAGCATGTACAGGCCTGGCCTAAGAGACCACAGACAATGGGAGCTCTTGAAAGATCTGGGGCAGTGGTCTCCCATGTAGGGCACTTCCATTCCCTGGGTTTACAGCTAGTGGGAACAGTTGGGAAGCCACAGCTTAAGCATGCCTACGTCCAGAGGACACAACCAACTAGGGCAACTGGGAAACTTATGAAAACAACATCCCAAAATGAAGGTCTTTACCCTCAGGCCTCTCAACCAGCAGGAGTCATACAAAAGCCTTTAAGATCTGCTTCTCAGAAAGGAGCCAAACTGAAGACACAGGATGGACCTTCAAATCCAGCTTTCCAAATGGGATCCTATCCCAAGTCCAATAGCAAATGTTTATCCAGCTCTCAGTTCCCATCCAACCAGCCCAAGCCATCCCAAGTCAAGCAATCCCAATCTATGCCCTCTCAACCCAAACCCACTCAAGCAAAACCCACTCAGTACCGGCCTTCCCAAGCTAAACCCTCGCAGCCCAGACCCACTCAGCCCCACCCCTTCCAACCCAAACCCACTCAAACAAAACCCACTCAGCCCCAGCCCTCACAAGCTAAACCCTCTCAGCCCAGACCCACTCAGCCAAAGCCCTCCCAACCCAAACCCACTCAGCCCCAACCTTCACAAGCTAAACCTTCTCAGCCCAGACCCACTCAGCCCAAACCATGCCCACCCAAGCCCTCCCAATCTAAACCTTCTCAGCCCAGACCGACTCAACCCAAGTCATGTAGGACCAGTCCTTCACAGGCTAAGACATATAATCCAAGGGCAAGAAAACGTTAGTTTTCATAGTTGTTTCTAGAGAACTATGAGACAAATCCTTCACCCCGGCCATTGCTATCATACATTAACCTAAAGGAGAAAGGCAGTGATGATAAGAGATTATCATCATTAGCATGAAACAGAAAAAAAAAAAAGATATGCACAGCCTAACTGGTATCATTAAAATATCTGTAAGAATTGTGGGGATCCCTGGGTGGCGCAGCGGTTTGGCTCCTGCCTTTGGCCCAGGGTGCGATCCTGGAGACCCGGGATCGAATCCCACGTCGGGCTCCCGGTGCATGGAGCCTGCTTCTCCCTCTGCCTGTGTTTCTGCCTCTCTCTCTCTCTCTCTCTGTGACTATCATAAAATAAAAATAAAATTAAAAAAAAAAAGAATTGTGTTCACCAAAAGGAAAAATATGAAAAGAATTGAGAATAGAATCAAGCAGTAAATAAATTAACTGAATCCAACCTTGAGTATTAGGTAGTATATAACCTGAATTCAAGGAATGGGGCTGTTGAGATTACTCCATAAAATAAGGCTCACGCATCTTCAGTGTTGCAAGAAAAACTAGATGTTGGCTACTCCAGAGGTATCTTGGTCAAAACTTTTTGGTTCAGTATCAGCCACCAAGCAGATAATATTGTTTGTTTGGGATGTTTAAATCATTTTTACTTCTGATGACAGCTCCAATTTGCTTGGATAATGTAACTCATTTGGCCTTTACATGCAGAAATAATGAGCTAAAAACCAATGAAATAAATGATTTTGCACTAACTTGGGTATGATCTGTGAATGTTTTGTATATAAATTATTTGTAATAGTTAAGATAATTTGGCTTATTAAAAAATCTGCTATCCTCATGATTTCAAGTTAAAATATACAATTGAATTTTTAATTTTAGAGTTACAAAGCTTGTAGAAAGCACTGCAATGTTTAAGAGAACTTAAAATTCACAAAATTTACAATTTTACTTTATTAGATTTATTACTATCCTAAACATTTGGCTAAGTTCTGCCAGTTACAAGCATAAGTAAAAGGAATATATTAAACTTAGAATATTTAAGTTTAATTAAGTTTGTAAAAGATACCAAATATTAATAAAAGACCACTTCAAAGATTGATATTAAAATTCACTAGATTTAGAAATTAAATAATAAGATTCATAAGTTGGATTAAGACCTCTGGTTTTTGAACTCATGACTCTTATAAAATTAATACTAGTTTTAAATACTAAAATGGCCCCACATTGTCTTCATTGGGTTAATTTTTTTTTCTTTTTCAAGGATGCCAAGGAAAAAAATCATATTGATAAACAGATGAAAAACAATCTTTGAAAAGGAATAACTAATTTCTGAAAACATTCTCATACTACAATAGGCATCCTTCACTTATGCATGTTTTAAACAAGAAACTATTGAGTATTTAGAGGGTGTTAAATCTTTAAAGTTACTGTAAGGATGAAGAAAGAAAGGACTATGCATGTAGGTTTTTGTCTTTATCTTTTCTTTCTTTCTTTCTTTCTTTCTTTCTTTCTTTCTTTCTTTCTTTCTTTTTTTAGAGATTTATTTATTTATTTATTTATTTATTTATTTATTTATTTATGATAGACATAGAGAGAGAGAGAGAGAGAGAGAGAGAGAGAGAGAGAGGCAGAGACACAGGAGGAGGAAGAAGCAGGCTCCATGCCAGGAGCCCGACGTGGGACTCGATCCCGGGACTCCAGGACCGTGCCCTGGACCAAAGGCAGGTGCTAAACCGCTGAGCCACCCAGGGATCCCCTGTCTTTATCTTTTCAAGAGAAAAAGCATAACTAGTGTTCATAACTACAGAATCTTTGGTGTAAAAGTGGAGTTCCTCAGTGAAAATAATCTTCTTGTTGTTTAAACTTTTTAAATGAGCAATACTTAGTGATATTTTAAAAAACATTTTACTGAATCCTTCTTCAAGATTAGTTCCTGGAGAATTATTTGTCACCAACAGATTCTGTATCAGTCTGGGTCTCAACAATACCCATATGGCACATTCAATTTGGACACTTCGAGGAGAGTTTCATAAAGGAACTATTTTTAAAGGGCTGGACAAGATGTGAAAACAGAGCAAAAGAGAATGCAGTGTCATGGATCTAGTAAAAGTAAGGCACATTGCCCACCCTAAGATCCAAAGGGAGAGAGGGGGTAGTGCTTTCCCTAGTCAGAAGAGCTGTGTGGGAAGGATCTTGGGGCTGGTTGGTTGAGGGGGACAACAGGCTGCAGTGACCTGCAGGGAGCTGCCCAAGAGAGTATGTACTCCACAACTTGGATCCCCAGTGCATCCCCTTGGCCAAAGCCAACCAGAAACCAGAGAACAAGGGGTCCACCTAGGCAGTTTGTGTTGGCCAGTCTTAGGGTTCAAAGCAGGGTAGAAAGTGACTCTGGAGGGGCAAACAGGTGCTGCTTAGCAGATTCCTCCCTTTCCATCTCATTCTTCCTTTTTTCACCTTTCTGCCTTCTCTTGCATTTATTTCTTCAGTAGGAACTGAGAAGACATGGAAAGAGAATGAGAAATCCTGCTATGGTCATGAGATCCTATAAATCTGTTTCCTCTTTATTATAAAACTATAAGCTCATATATAGTTTCAAAAATGCAGAAGTAGGCAAAGAAGAAAATAAAATAAAAATAGTCTGTGATCTCATAACTCAGAATAATTGGTAATGTAGTCCTCTAACTCACTAATAACATTTTCATATATTTTTTCTATGTAAATACATTTACAGGGGCAGCCTGGGTGGCTCAGTGGCTTAGCGCTGCCTTCAGCCCAGGGTGTGATCCTAGAGCCCCGGGATTGAGTCCCTTGTTAGGCTCCCTGCATGGGGCCTACTTCTCCCTCTGCCTGTCTCTCTCTCTCTCTCTCTCTCTCTCTCTCTCTCTGTCTCTCATGAATAAATAAATAAAATATTAAAAAATAAAATATATATATATTTACAGGTATCAATCAGGGTTGAATGCGGCAAAATCAAACACAGTGTTGGGGCAGGTAATATAAACAGTATGAAATATTGGTTTTCCAGATGTCTTAAGAAAGTGTGAATTTAAGACATAAAATATAGTTTAAGGGCATCTTTATGTAATGCACAAGTTTGATTGTTTTAAGTCACACATGCTAAAACTCAGAACCATTTATTTTGTATTATTTACCAAACTGAGTGCATTCAATTTGAACCTGACTTTTTTTTGGTTGGTAGATTGAAGAGTCTACCCAATGACTTAACCTTTTTCAACACCTGAAAGTCCTTTCTTAAACACCTTAAATCAATTTTTATTTTATACAAGACTCCAAATAAAGATTACTTTTTTTTTCAACATTGGAAAAAGCATGTTCTTTGTTGAGATGCTTAAAAGGAGTATAGTTCAATGTGATACAGAGACTGGCATTAGGGGCAAAGCTGCCTCATAAATTGTACTAGCCCCAAAAAACTAGGTTTTACCCACATGCATGGTGACCTTCTGCATTTCCTTACGTCTTAGAATTTTTTATAGTCCCCTTTGTGACTAAGGTATAGGTTTCTTTTTATTTGCTATATAGGGTCCATGTAAGCAAAGTGTCTATTGGGGAGGATAAACATGACACTGACCGCCATGGATTCAGAAATCTGATTTAATGGGTGGCTCTAAGTGGTAATTGGTTAAGAGTAGTTTTCAGAGCTTGTTTGGATAAAGGCTGAGATACTATAGCAAAGGGCAGACAAAAATCTAGTGGCTTAAATAATATGCGAGCTAATTTTTCCTTCCTGTAACAATTCAGCCTGTCTAAGCTGGTGGAGCATCTCTTTTCAGGGTTAATCATGAGCTAAGTTCCTTCCATTTTGTTATTTCATCTCTTTGGACATTGTCCTTTTCTTCACGATTGAAGCCACTCTCTCATTTCCTTGATGCAATCTACAGAACGTGAGGAAAGCCAAATTCCAAAGAGACCAACCTGATTTAGGTTAGAGATGAGTTGGAAATTGCGTGCATCTTTCAATCACACCCCATTGGCTCAAACTTGGTAATATGGCCACATGTAGCTGTAAATGAGGTTGGGAAAGGTAGTCACCAGCTGAGTGGCCATGCATGCATCCAGGAAGAAGGAGAAAAGCAGCATTCTGCCAAAATATCATAGAACTTCAATATCAGAGAGAAGCCCAGAGGATGAAGATAGAGTCACCAGATTCAATCCTAAAATGCACATCAAATATTCATTCCTACCACCTCAATCATAATTTTTTCTCAGTTATTATAAAATATAAATTATTTTAGTGATGGAAAGGGGTAATAATTGCCTGAATTGCAAGGAGAATTTTGAGTGATTTTGCAGTGAAGATTTTTAGATTATATATTCTTTTCTTTTTATATAAATAAAATGTTGCTACTGTGATCTGGGTATTGCCTGGCCCTGAGCCTATATTATGCACAAGGGCCGAAATGTTTTCCATCATTCTATAATAGAAATATAAACTAGACTGTTCCCTAATCCAAGGTGTCAACATTCTATACACCCTATTGGTGAGTTTCCTTAAATTCTGAAACAGTGATTATATAATTTGAGCATGCCTAAAAATCACCAGAGGTGGTTTTTAAGGTTGCATATTATTAAATTTTCCCTTAGAGATTGATAAAGTCTAGGGTAAGCCTAAAGAATGGCTTTTTTTTTTTTTAAATGTCAGGATGCCCACTGACACTGAAGATCCTGAAGATCCTGGGGCCACATTTTGAAAACCCAGATCCCGCCTGGGCTGCAAACCTGTTTATTTGTGCTCAGAGAAAGACATTTTCATGTGGACCAGTAATTCAGTCTGGGATAATTTCCTTGCATTATCATTCTCATTAAAGTCATTATTCATCTCCTGCTGGAAAACTGTGCCCTAAAAAGCTGGTGTAATGAGGTGATAATGAGGTAAAAAGTTTTAGCCATTTAAGATTAGGACTGCTCTTTTCCACCTATAGGTTTCTACATCTAACACTTCCCATTTTGTTGGCAGGTTTTGTAGCTGATTAAATTTAAAAACACATCCTTTTATTTTTCAAACTGTGCTTCTTTCTCTTTTCTCCATGGCTAAGACTTGATTTTTTTTTTCCCCTCTTGAGCCTCAGCCCTTTCTTCCTCTTCCCCAATGTCACTGGTTTACATCATATTATTCTTTCACTAATGGCAGAATGACTTTGCTAGGGATTGATGCAGATGATTTTTGCCTTGGGTCTTACTTTGACACTCCCCTGTCTCTGGGTCTCGCAGGCCAGATCAATTTCTCTGGGTTGGCAAAAGCAGAGAGAAAGGAGAATAGATCAAGATACTGAGATGTTGTATGTGTCCTCCAGAGGGGCCTTTAGCCCTATTCCCCCAGTCATTGGTAAATTCCCCACTTCCACTTCAAGACTCAAGGGTGAGCAATACAACCCAAAGGGAGATTGGAATACTGTGAGCCTTTAATGTCTGTCCCCTTTCCCAAGATAGGACTGGGTTAAGGGATCAGATAAGAGAGAAGCAAATACTGTTAATAAAAAAGTATATTAATTAGTACTTCAAAAAAAATCAGTACTTAAAAAAAAAAAAGGTAAGGAAATTGGTTCTGACTTGATAAAATGCTCAAGACAGGCTCTGTTGTCCTCTCTTGAAACACACCCTGCCCAGGGCTTCCAGCACACCGCTCCTGGCTCTTCTCCAGCCAGTCCTCCTCCTTGCACCTCACTGATCCCCTGCCTGCCTTTAACTGCTGCCTTTCCTCAAGCAGCTCCTGGCATTCTTTTTTTTTTTTTTTAATTTATTTATGATAGAGAGAGAGAGAGAGAGAGAGAGAGAGAGAGAGAGAGAGGCAGAGACACAGGCAGAGGGAGAAGCAGGCTCCATGCACCGGGAGCCCGATGTGGGATTCGATTCCGGGTCTCCAGGATCACACCCCGGGCTGCAGGAGGCGCTAAACCGCTGCGCCACCGGGGCTGCCCTATTATTATTTTTTGGATTGTATTTATTTATTCATGAAAGACATAGACTGAGGGGATCCCTGGGTGGCTCAGCGGTTCAGCGCCTGCCTTTGGCCAGGGCCTGATCCAAGAGTCAGGAGATCGAGTCCCGCATTGGGCTCCCTGCATGGAGCCTGCTTCTCCCTCTGCCTGTGTCTCTGCCTCTCTCTCTATCATGAATAAATACATAAAATCTTTTAAAAAGGAAAGAAGAAAGAAAGAAAGAAAGAAAGAAAGAAAGAAAGAAAGAAAGAAAGAAAGAAAGAAAGAAAGAAAGAAAGAAAGAAAGAAAGAGGCCTAGGCAGAGGGAGAAGCAGGCTCCATGCAGGGGTGGGGAGCACCATGCGGGACTCGATCTTAGGCCCTGAGCCGACCTGGGCCAAAGCCAAAGGCTCAGCCACCGAGCCAGCCCCGCGTCCCTCGACTTACTTTTGGTGCTTTTAAGATAAGGAATGAGACGAACGTTTCTGAAACTAAGAGGAAGACCCGC